GCAGGACACGCGTGGGCACAGAGGCGGCCGGCAGGGGCGCGGGGCGGCAGGCAAGGGGCCACCTGCTGGGCCCGCGGCGGCCGGGAGGGGCGTGAGGACACGGGCCAAACTTGCTCCTGCTGGCGCCTGCCGGGCCAGCCCGACACGCACAGAGCGCGGTGTGGACCTCGTCCCCGACCCACGCCTCCCCGTCCCCGTCCCCGCTCACCGGGTGTGCACGCTGCCCCAGACGACACGGGAGCCCTGGACCTGGGCGGGCGGCAGGACAGGGCAGGAGAGGACAGGAGAGGACACAACAGGCCAGGCGAGGCCAGGGGACGCCGCCGGTGTGTGCAGCGCCCAGGCGCGCGTGCTTGTCGCCCAGGGCGGGGCCAGGCCGGCGGGGGCAGGCCTCGGCCCGCAGCTCGCGGGGCGACAATCCACGCGTGCCTTCACGGCGCACCGCCGAGCGGCAGCCCGCGCCCTTTCCGGGGTGGACGCCGCATACCCGAGCGCTGAGCGCAGAGACGGGCCGGCCGCACTCACCCGCCACCTCTGTCACCCCCGCCCTCACCTCTGCAGTCACCCGGCCGGGCCTGACCCGGTGCCACGCATCCCGGGCTGGTGGGAGCTATGCCCGCCAACTCTGGGAGCAGCTGGTGACCGTCCTGCCTCAGCCTAGCGGGCCAGGCCTGGCAGGGCCAACAGGCGGTGCGGTGCTGAGGACTGGGCCCTGCGTGGCCCCCAGGAAGCCCCGTGACCGTGAGGTTCTCTTTCATTGTGGTTTCTGAGCCAGGGTCTCGCTACACGGCTCAGCCTGGCCTCCAGCTCGGGCGATCCTCCCGCCTCAGCCTCCCCAGTGCTGGCCTGACCAGCGTGCGGCCCCACGCCTGACTGTTTTCTTCGAGACGGGGTCTCACCGAGTCGCTCAGGTGCGTCCTGTGCTCTGCAGCTCATCCTGTGTGGGAGACCCCAGACTTCCCTGCCTCTGCCTGCTCCCAGCACGCGGAGGGATGCTGAGGCAGGAGGACCACTCACAGGGTTCAGCCTCGCCTCGCAGCTCCCTGGCCTGACCTGGGCTTGCGAAATAAACACAGAGGCGCCTTCCACAAGTGGCCTCTCCACCGGCTATTCTTAGTCCTGAGAGTGCTCCATCCCCTAGAGCTTCTGGATGGCAAGTGCAGAGCACGCCCGCGGGCTCCCCATGACCAATGCTTCCTCTTCCGCCCACGCGGCCCCCCAGGCCAGAGACTACCCAGCGCTTGCACTGCACACCGCAGGTGCCTGTTTCTTTCTGAGCTTCGTTGTTTCTTGTTTTTTGGGCTTTCTGAAACAGGGCCTCACTATGCAGTTCAGGCTGGCCTCGAACTCACAAAGATCCTCCTGCCTCAGCCTCCCGAGCACTGGGATGACGGCAAGTGTCACCACGGCCTGCCACCGCCCGAGTTACTCAAAGGGCGTAACTTTCAGGTCATTTATTGCTGTCTCCCAGACTTCGCCCTTCTTCCCAGGCTTGTGGTGCCGAGATTCTGTGGATTCCGGTGTCGCCCCAGAACCTTCTGGCCTCTGGGTACCTTGGGGTGAAGTCGGCCCCAACCCTGCACATGGGGACACATAGTGGCCACAGCCCAGCTTTGCTGGGCTGAGCCCGGGGCCTCTGTGAAACTCAATCGGGAGGCTGAGGCAGGAGGATCTCTGGGAGTTCGAGGCCAGCCTGGGCTCCACAGTGACTTCAAGCCCAGCCTGCACTGCACAGTGAGACCCTAACTCAAAAAAACAGAGGAGGTCCCGAGGCAGGACGGTCTCCTCTCCAGATCCTCCACTAATGCCCTCCACAGGAGACCCTTTCCAATCAGGCCCCAGAGCGACACCCTGGGTGACACCAATTTGGGGGACTCAGCGTGTAACTCACCACAGACCCCAGGCTGGCCGTGACTTCCCGGCAATCCTCCTGCCTCAGCCTCCCGAGCGCTCGGATGACAGGCATGTGCACCCCACACATCGTGAATGAGCAGATTTTTTTTTTTTTTGAGGGAGTAGATTTTAAATGCTGTCAGCACAAAGAAATGTTACGCAAGGTCAGGGGCATGTTGATTATGATGATTTAACCTCTCCATGATGCACAGGGCCTCACAGCCCATGCTGCACCCTGTTAATGCATGCGATGACGTGTTAATTACAAACTGGAAACACATTTATCCCCGCAGCTACAGACGAACATTCATGGTATAACAGCACGTAATAGTACGTACATAAAGCCTAACGCAAGGTACAATGTAAATCAACCTTCTCTGCTGGTGCTGGCGTGGTGGCGCACGCCCGCCATCCCAGCACTCAGAAGGCTGAGGCAGGAGGACACCTTGGAGTTCAAAGCCAGCCTGAGCTACACAGTGAGACCGTGTCTCAATCCGCACCCCGAAAACACCGAAAAACAAAACAAAACAAAACCAAGTCTGCAGCTACCAAGATAAAACGAACAAGTATTCAGAGTCCAGAGGGGCAGGCAGGCATGTCCACAGATGGGGTCAATAGCTATAGCCATGGAATATAGAGAGAGAGGCAGAGAGATGGTTGTAGAGATACAACACACACGTTATGTAGCTTCTTAGCTAGTTTTGTGGTTCACCATACCTTGGTGTTTTGAAGACAGATCTCACTATGGAGCCCAGGCTGGCCTCAAACTCACAGTGATCCTCCTGCCTCAGCCTCCTGAGCGCCAGGATGGCAGGTGTGCGCCAACACGCTCAGCTGCAACCAGTATTTTTAGCTTGTGGTGTTTTTTTTTTTTTTGTCTTTTTGAGACAGAGTCTCGCTCTGCAGTTCAGGCTGGGCTTGAGCTCACTTTGTAACCCAGTCTGGTCTCACACTCACCACGACCCTCCTGCCTCAGCCTCCTGAGTGCTGGGTTTACAGACGTGCGACACCACACCTGGCTGCAACCAGCATTTTGAAAGTATAGTTTGATGATGAAAAATTCTTAATTTTCAGCAGTCTTTCTGATCATTAGCACAGTTGAAAAAGTGTTCTCTGCTCGCCGTGTCTGAGGCTGCCCTTCATTTTCTGTGGATTTCAGACAACAAACGCCTCAGCCCTCACCCCCAGCTCCTCTCTTGCAAAGGCGACGTAGGCCACCGTCTCCCCGGCTGTCTCCGTTCCCATCTCTGTCTCTGTCTGTCTCTTATCTGTCTCTGTCTGTCTGTCTCTGTCTGTCTGTGGTCTCTCCTGTCTCTTCCTCCTCCTCCTCCTCCTCCTCGGGGGAGGCTGGGCGGCCACCATGGGGCTCCCAGAATAAACCCTGTTGGTCAGAAGAGGAGGACTTGTTATACAACAGTAACCCCCATTAGCTTGCTTACAGTATATATACACACACACACCCACACATTTCTTTTTTGGTTTTTTGAGACAGGGTCTTGCAGTTCAGGCTGGTCTTGAACTCATTTTGTAGCCCTGTCTGGTCTCGAATTTACTGCAACCCTCCTGCCTCAGCCTCCTGAGAGCTGGGATTACAGGCATGCGCCACCACACCCAGCTGCCCAGCAATGTGTGACAAGAAAATGTGTGACCACCTGTAGCATATCCGCTACCTGCCTTTTCTGTGTGTGTCTTTTGCAGCCAGGGTCTGGCTATGCACTTCAGAAGGGCCTAGAGCTGTTCGTAGCCCAGGCTGGTCTTGAATTCACAGCAATCCTCCTGCCTCAGCCTCAGCCTCCCGAGTGCTGGGATGACGGGCGTCCGTGCACCACCACACCCGGCGCTATGGGCCTTCTGCACTTCCTTCTGACATCTCATATAAGTGACTGTTTAACCCCAGGAGGAGGCTGGCGATGTGCAAAGAAAGCGGTCTGCCTTCCAGAATGCCTCAGTGGCAGTACGTAGGCAGCTGAGTTGGATAAAATATCCCTGGCAGTCAGACAGCGCTGGGCCCCGAGGAGCCGGGCAGAGAGGACAGGCCTTGCAGCTCTGTGGGCGGCGGGCGCCTCCGCTGGGGGCCAGACCTCCAGACCAAAGGTTAAAGCAATGCACCCACATACTGCTAAGGCTGGACAGCAGGGGTTGATGTTCTGAACACACACCAATGCCCTTAACACAGCCAGGAGGAGTCACTGACCCGGCCCCCCGAGTGTATTCACGCGCTTCCTACTCCGGCTTCCCCTTTGACCCTGATCCGATCAATTTTACCGGAACAATTATACTCGTAATCTTATCGGCTGACCATAGTGTTGTCCCACCTCATGCCCACCTTGAGGATTCCCATTTTTCCCACCTTGGACCTGCCTTGCTCCGTGGATTTGCTCTATAAAATCCCTAGAAAAGGGGCTGGGGGTTTAGCTCAGTGGCACAGAGCCTGCCTGGCAAGCGCCAGGTCATGGGTTCGATTCCCGGTACTAGAAAACCACCCCCCCCAAAAAAAATAAATATTCGCTTGCATGGCATCTTTTAGTAAAACGAATGAGGCCCCCGCACACACACTCTCTTGCTGTAAAGAGCACAGCCAACTTGGGTGCACCCTGAGTGCAGTCGGCCCTGGCTCGGTGAGGAGCTCCCAGCAGGCCAGGCCGGGCCAGCCCGGCTCAGAAACACAGTTTTAGTAAGAAAATAGATAGCTGTGTGCTCTGTACTTGGAAAACATACAGATGTACATTTTACTAACGGAGACACATACAGTGTCGCTTTACCGTGGAAGCGTGTGGGTGTGTGGGCACGCACCTTTACTAAGAAAAGCAGGCGCCGGGGCCCCCTGGTGCTCAGGACCTGTGCCGCTGGGAGACCCTGAGACAGATCTTCTGCAGAAAGGGAGGGCCTGACAGGCGGGGGAGGGGAGGAGAAGGGGATACATGAGGCGGGGCTCTGGCCAGGCACACACACTGCCCACCTTACGCACTGTACAGCGCACGGACTTGAACAAATAAAACCTGAAAAGGAACAGAAAACAACGTATCTGTCCTATTTTAATAATTAAGTGTAGCCGGGCATGGTGGCGCACGCCTGTAATCGCAGCACTCGGGAGGCTGAGGCAGGAGGATTGCTGAGTTTTAGACCAGCCTGGGCTACAAAGTGAGCTCAAGGCCAGCCTGAATTACAGAGCGAGACCCCGTCTCAAAAAGACAAAATAATAACAACAACAATAATAATAGTAATAATTTAGTGTAGCCCGGCGTGGTGGTACACACCCGTCATCCCCTCACTCAGGAGGCTGAGGCAGGAGGGTCGCTGCGCAGCTCTGGCGGGATGGAGTTTGTCTCGGGAGAGATGAACACTGCCATGCGGGGAAAGCACTGAAGCACGCTATGCGCGGGAGTTACGCAGGCCACGAATTACTGCTCGGAGAACGGGGCTTCGGAGCCCAGACCCCGATGGGGGCCTTAGCCTGGGCCGTGGCCTTCCGAGGTCTCTGCGGAAAGTGCTTCCGCCAGCGCAGAGTCACAGGGCAGCAGGCTGAAGAGCGCTCTGGGGATGTGATGCCTGGGGCCGCAGCAGCCACTCTGGGACAGGAGGCGGCAGCAGGAACAGGAAACCCTGTGCCCCGGAGGCTACAGGGGGACCCGGACACCCCGCCTCTGACAGCGCTGGAGCCCCGGCTCGGCGCGGACGAGGTCCTGGGGTCCCGGGCGCTTTAGAATCCGCAGCGCCCGGCCCTCTGCGGCCCCCCGGGGGACCCCAGTCCGGCTCCGCGGTTTTCGCAGCAGGAGGCAGCGCCCCACACTCGTCCCGCGGCCCCGCCCCTCGCCGGTGGCCCCGCCCCTCCTTTGCCCTGGCCCCGCCTTCTCCACGCTTTAGGCGACGGCCCCGCCCCCCCGCCCGTTTCGTCATCGCCGGTAGCCCCGCCCCTCTCTCTGCCCTGGCCCCGCCCCTTCCTCCTCGCCGTAGCCCCGCCCCGCCCGCCCTGGCCCCGCCCGCCCCCTCCTCCTCGCCGGCGGCCCCTCCCTCCCTCTCCCCACAGGCGGCCGGCCCCCCACTGTTCCCCGCTACGCCGCGACCCGGTCTTTCCGTCCTGCCCTCCCCGTAGTCCGCGGCCCTCTGGGTTGTCTCTCAAGCCCCTCTGCAACTCTGCGCTCCGCACCGCTACTCCTTCAGCCCGAAGCGGCTCCTTCCGTCCCTCTTTGCCTCTCTCCTCACCCTCGGCTCTTTCCGTGGCCCCTCGGCCCTCTCCGTACACACCGGAGCCTTTCGAAGCCACTCGGCTTTCGTCCGCCTGCCCTCGGCTCTTTCCGGCCCCCCCACCCCCAGTCACTCTCTGTACACATCGGCTCTCCGCTTCAGCGTTCAGCTACGCTCGGCCCTCTCCGCACACGCTCGGTCATCCCGAGGGCGCTCGGCGCTCTTCGTCAATGCCCGACCCTTCAGCCATGCTCGGCTTTTTCCGTCACCGTTCAGCCCTCTCCGCACACACTTCGGTTTCCCCTAGAGCGTTCGGTTCTCTTCCTCGAGGGCCGACCCTTTAGTTATTCTCGGCTCTTTCCGTGATCTCTCGGACGTCCCCGTAAACACTTCGGTCCTTCCGAGGGCGCTCGGCGCTCTTCGTCAATGCCACCCTCGGCTGTTTTCGTCCCCACTCGGCCCTCTCCTGATCTGCCCAGGACTCGGGGACAGCGTGGACCCCGGGCCTCGGGATCTATGGGGGTCACTCGGCGACTCCTGCTCGGGATCTGTGGGGGTCACTCGGGGACGCCGAGCTCGGCATCTGTGAAGTTATCGGGCCGCTCGGGAGAGGAGGCGCGGATCCCCCTGCCCGGGGCTCCGTCTGCTCGGCCCAGGCTCCGCGGGCGCAGCTGCTGTAGGGGACCGGGCTGGCGCGTGCGGGGACTACGGGGAAACTGCGGGCGGGGGCGGGGCCTACTGTCAGGGGCGGGGCCTGTGGGGAAATGCAGGTGGAGGGGCGGGGCCTACTGTCAGAGGGGTGGGAACTATAGGAGGACAGTCGGCGGGGGCGGGCCCTGCCTGAGGGGGGCGGGCCCTGCCTGAGAGCGGCGGCCTAGGGGCGGGGCCTGGGGCGAGAGGGGCGGGGCCTCTAGAGAAACACGAGCGAGGGGCGGGGCCGGGCCTGGGGCCTGCGGGCGCCTTCGGGCCCCAGGCCGTGAGCATGCGCACTCCTCTCCTCAGGCCGAGGTGGGGCGTCCGTTCCGGCAGCGGGCGTGGGGGCGTGGGGGCGCGGGGGGGGGGGGGGGGCTGGCTGAGGGCACCGAAGAGCCCGGGCAGACACACCCCGGGTGCCGTCCTCCCTTCCTAGGCCTGCCTCGCGCCACCGATGCACAGTGGAGAGAAGCATCCCGGCTCTGTCCCTGCACAGCCGGCAGGCGTCATGAACACCCAAATGGCCCCTTCCTGATTCCCAGAAAGTGATCGGAAAGCGTGCACACACCCCAGCGCGGCTGCGCGCTGTAAGGGGCCTGCCAGGGTACTTTGCGCAGTGCACAGCCTGAACAACCGCGCCGGGCGCTTGTCACTGCCCGCGGGCGGGAGACCCAGGACGGACCCTGACCCGGGAGGTCCCGGCCTCGCGCTCCGTCCTCCCACCCACCCGGCCGCCTGCACGCCCCAGCGTGCGACAGGAACCGCGGCCTCGCACGGGCGTGGGTCGCCTCCGACACACTCGGGGCACTCCCGCAGAAAGGAGCCTTGGGCGAAGGGTTCGTGGGATGAAATCGGAGACAACGGACACGCTACAGCGGGCTACGTGGATAAGAAGGACGAATTTTTGTTTGTTTCTTTTGAGACAGGGTCTCGCTATGCAGTCCAGGCTGGCCTTGAGCTCTCTGTGCGGCCCAGGCTGGCCTCGAACTCATGGAGATGTTCCCGCCTCAGCCTCCCGAGTGCTGGGATGACAGGCGTGCGCCAGCACCCCGGGCAAGAAGCGCTCGTTTCAGGAGAGCGCTGTTGCTGGACGGCAGAGCCTGGGGCCCGTGGTTCTACAGGAAAGGCAAGAAATTGAGCGGGGGATGCAGGGCAGAGAGTCATGTTAATGTCCAGAGGAAGATGACAGGGCGTTTTGAGTAAATGTGGACTTCTGTACAAAAGGAATGAATAAATGTGGATTGGTGTACATGAAAAATAAAACCTCCCCTGAAAATAAGCCCTTTCATTGTTATTTACAGCAAAAACTAATCTAAGGCCCAGTCTGCCCTTCGGGGACGGCGGTAGTGGGAAATGCCAGCTGTCGGCCCTCGCTGCTGAAGTCCGCGCGCTCCCCAGGGTCCCCGCTCCGCCTGGGCGTGGCCTCGGTCCCCTGAGACCAAACAGTTCCGTGGTGTTGGGAAGCTGACCCCTCGGGCTCAGGGTGGCTTTCACAGCTTCCTCCGCAAGCCAGGCTCTAGGTGAGGGTCCCTCGTTCCTCCGTTTTTCTTTTTTCTTTTTTTTAATCTTTTTTGAGACAGGGTCTCGCTATGCAGTTCAGGCTGGCCTTGAGCTCACTTTGTAGCCCAGGCTGGTCTCGAACCCGCAACGATCCTCCTGCCTCAGCATCCCGAGTGCTGGGATGACAGGCGTGCGCCACCACACCCGGCTTACAGCATTTTCAAAATTTCCCTGTAGTTCCTAAAGCACCCCTAGATGGCGCGCTAACACTTCTTTTTCTTAGAAACGACCGGCCGCAGTCAAACAGGTCAAGCGAGTCTAACACAGCAGGTGTGTGAGACCGGAGACCTCGGCGGCCGGCAGAGGTAAAATGTCTCATCAAAGAGCTTCGTGTTCCTGTGCAGGTCCTCCCCTTAACTTTACAGCAAAAGGGAAGACAGAAGCGACTGACACAGAAAATGCCACGCAGGGTGACAGTTCCGATTACCTGATATACCTCAGCAATCAAGAAATAAAAGCTAAAGGTCCGGGGCAAGCGCAAGGTCCTCAGTTCCGTTCCCGGTACCTTAAAACAATAGCAAAAAGAAATAAAAGCGCGCTGGGTGTGGTGGCGCACGCTCATCGTCCCAGCACTCGGGAGGCTGAGGCAGAAGGATCCCTGCGAGTTCGAGGCCAGCTTCGGCTACAAAGTGAGCTCAGGTCTCTCGCGCTTTGGTGGGACTCCAAGTATGTTACAGGGGTGACGTCAGCACCCCCAAATACGATATAAAGGAAATATTATAACTCCCATCCTGTTAGATGTCTGAGAACCTCAGTTCGTGTTCTCTAGAAATGGAAAAAAAAAAAAAA